CTAAAGAATTAGTATTACATGCACTGAGTTCTGAAACTTGACCCTAGCTTGTGTATGTGACATAAAGCTAAAATTTTCACTAGGGTGGTAGGAGTCAAGTAAAAGATGTATATAAGGATAGTATGTGTCTAATCTAGGAGGTATACAAGAAGAGTCTGGCTGAATAGGTACCAAATCCAGCAGTTTTTAAAAAGTGTTTCTAGATATGGTAGGCAATATGCCAGGGCAGAGAAGAGAGCAGAAAAGATCTAAAAGATACAACGAAATGGATTTTCTACCCCAGTCTATCCCTCCATGTCCTCCAAATTTAATCAAGAGCAAAGACAGAAAGCTAGGCTATTATCACTATCTCCTTTTCTCTAATTTGTGCTCTACATGCAGTGATAAAGTTCTATAGATTTTACCTCCTTAATGGTTCTAGTGATAGCAGACCTGTTCCTAGGCAGATAGTGGCAGGGTCCCTGGTGAAACCTGACCTTCAGGAGGAAGACAGCCTGATGCCTGAAAACTGGGCAGCCAGTTCCTGGTGGAATCCACCACCCTGAGTGAGAATCTCCTTTGTGCCTTTCAGCCAATCAAATGGTGGTCCTTCCAGGCCCACCCATGGACCAATTGGCACACACTTCCTCCTGCCCATGGACCAATCAGCATACACTTCCCCATTTTGAGCCAATAAACCCTCCCCCATACCCCCTCCAACCACCTCAGCCACTCATCAGGACTACCCATTTGGGGACTGCTTTCTATGGAGAGATGTTCTGTTGCTCAATAAAACTCTTCTCTGCCTTGCTCACCATCCAGTTGTCCATGTGACCTCATTATTCCTGGATGCAGGACAGTAACTTAGGAACCCCGCAAAGGCAGGTGCGGAAAGGGCTGTAACACTTTCCTGGCTACCTTGCCAAGCTGCCAGCAGGAGCAAAGGGGCTATAACATGTTCCTGGCCAGCTTGCCAAGCTGCAGGCAGTGACACAAGCTGCAGGAGTGAAGAGCAGCAACACTTGTAGGGGCCCAGACCTGGGGATTCCCTGAGCCAGAGCTGTAACACTATAACCCTCCCACCTTCCTCCAGCATCAGGCAGCTGCCCCACATGACAGGAAGTGACAGTAGGTTTGGGTCAGCTTGGGAGCCATAGGCCCAAACGAGGTGGCGGGACTGAACAGGCTAAAACACTCTCTGCCCTTTTCACTGGCCAAGCTGTGGTTGGCAGGAACGAGAGAGCTGTAGCATCCCTGTCCCCCAACCCCTTGGGGCTCCCCAGTTACTGGCATCTCTGAGTTTTCAGGCACCACTGCGTTCCCCTCATCCAGACAAGGCACCCACAGAGGAAGCTGCTTGCAGTGTGCTTGGTCCAACTGCAGCCCTCATGGAGCCGGCAACTGTGCCAGTGCCTGGAGCTGCCTACCTTGCTACAGCAGCCAGTGTGGTTGGCTGTGCACAGTGACCAGACCCCACACTCACTAACTCGCTCATACACCCCTCACTGCTCCATGCCTAGCTCACCTTAGGTAGGTATGGGATCCAGGCCAGTAGCATGAGCTGAGCACAGTCTGCAGGGCTAAGTGGGCAGAACGAGCCCAGTGGGCATGAGTGAAACTCAGAGACACTGCCAGCCACAGAGGTTGCCGGCTGTTGAAGAAACATCCAAAGTATCCCAGGAGGTGGGATTACAGGCGTGAGCCAGTTGAAAATTTTTTAATTATAGCAGTTCTACTTTGGGTCTCACAGTTCCTGGAGATAAGGAGATTATTATTATCATCCCTAGGGCTGCCTAAAAGCTCTCTGTTGTATTCACTTACACTGTTTCTTCCCATTGTCACTACTGTTGGTATTTCAATATAATAACACAATAAAGTTACACTATGAAGACCAATTACACCGAGAATTAAGTGTTTATCCTCTTCCCAAGAACTGGTGCACCAAGACTTGGAGAGGTGGACACAGCTGGAGAAGCAACACTGGAGAAGCAACGGAGGTAATACAGAAATGAAGAAAAGGAGATCAAAGGACTTAAATCTTCTAAGTATTCCCCCAAGATAGGTTCAATATGCTTTTCTTTTTCTTTCTTTCTTTTTTTTTTTTTTTGAGACAGTCTTGCTACAGTCACCCAGGCTGGAGGGCAATGGCACAATCTCAGCTCACTGCAGCCTCACACCCCAGGTTCAAGCAATTCTCCTGCCTCTGTCTCCTGTGTAGCTGGGATTACAAGCATGTGCCACCACACCTGGCTAATTTTTGTATTTTTAGTAGAGATGGGTTTTCACCATGTTGGCCAGGCTGGTCTCAGACTCCTGGCCTCAAGTGATCTGCCTACCTCAGTTTCCCAAAGTGCTGAGATTACTGGCACCACCACATCCAGCCTTAATACATTTTTATTTATTTATTCTTTTTTGAGACAGAGCCTTGCTCTGTCGCCTAGGCTGGAGTGCAGTGGCACCATCTTGGCTCACCACAACCTCTGCCTTCCGGGTTCAAGTGATTCTTGTCTCAGCCTCCTGAGTACCTGGGATTACAGGTGTGAATCACCACGCCCAGCTAATTTTTGTAATTTTTAGTAGAGACAGGGTTTCACCATGTTGGCCAGGCCATTCTTGAAATCCCGACCTCATGATCCACCCACCTCAGCCTCCCAAGGTGCTGGGATTATAAGCATGAGCCACTGTGCCCAGCTGAATACATATTTAAAAGCAATACGATGGAATAGTAAAAATAGTTCTGTACAATACTCAGACTTTATAGTAGCTTTTAGTTAATAAGATTGGGCTCTTTCTGGCTAATGAACTGAGTCTGCCTCCCCATCTATGCCTCAGAATGGCAGGGTTATATCTATTGTGCAGATGAGAAAATGGAAATTCAAAGTAACACTGTTATTAAGGTAAAGATGATCTTTGTCTAAAGCCCATGCTCTTAACTGCTTTGGTATACTGCCTCTAAATCCAATCAATTAACCCATCATATGGTATACTTATACAATAAAGTATGTATTCTTTAAACATCTTATTTGCCAAGAGTTTTCAGTGACAGAACTGCTGGAATTTTCATAGTAGAGAATCACAGCTTAATTCACTGGGGAGGCATATCTAACTCAGAGGAGGAACTCAGAGAAAAGTTGATAATATTCTCCCAGAACAAGAGTAGAAGAGTCTTCTGAAAAAGATCATCTTCTATGAAAAAGAGGAGCCAGGCCCAATGAATTCAACCCAGTAACAAAATTACAATCATCATGAGATATATGAGTTCAATAAAAACTGAAAAAAGGCCGGGTACACTGGCTCACGCCTGTAATCCCAGCACTTTGGGAGGCCGAGGCTGGTGGACCACCTGAGGTCAGGAGTTCAAGACCAGCCTGGCCAACATGGTGAAAACCCATCCCTACCGAAAACACAAAAATTAGCTGGGCGTGGTGGCTCACACCTGTAATCCCAGCTGCTTGGGAGGTTGAGGCAGGAGAATCACTTGAACCTGGGAGGCAGAGGTTGCAGTGAGCCAAGATCGCGCCATTGCACTCCAGCCTGGGTAACAAGAGTGAAACTTCATCTCAAAAAAAAAAAAAAAAAAAAAATATATATATATATATATATATATATATTTTCACTACTACAATGCTTTATGAACATTTGTATAAAATGTTGTCAGGCATGGTGGCTCACACCTGTAATCCTAACACTTTGGGAAGCTGAGGCGGGTGAATCACCTGAGGTCAGGAGTTTGAGACCAACCTGGCCAGCATAGTGAAAGCCCGTCTCTACTAAAAATGCAAAAATTAGCTGTGCCTGGTGGCGGGCAGCTGTAATTCTAGCTACTCAGGAGGCTGAGGCAGGAGAATTGCTTGAACCTGGGAGGCGGAGATTACAGTGAGCCAAAATTGTGCCATTGTACTCCAGCCTGGGAGATGAGTAAAAAACTCCGTCTTGGGAAAAAAAAATCAAAAACATAAAACGTTATTCTCCTTCAGGCTGTTTCCTGGGCTCCTTATATAGTCCTTTATCAATATCTCATATTTTTTAGGATAATCCTTATTCCACAAAATCTTATAGACTTTATTAAAATATTTAAGCTCATAGGTGCTTACAGAAAAAAGTCCTATGTCTCTGAGAAAATTACAAAGTATTAAATTACTTGCATTAGATTTTTTTCTGAGACTATAAATAACTGTTTGGTTTTTGCTGTTGCTACCAATGAAGAATTACTGCAACTAGACTTGTGCTATCCAATATGATAGCATTGGTTACATGTGGCTGTATAAACTGAAATTAATTAAAGTTTGAAACATTAAATTTAGTTCCTAAGTTCTAGTCACACCTTAAGACTTCATTAACTTTCTGTGGCTAGTGGCTACAATATTGGACAGCACATTTATAGAGCATTTCCCTCATAGTGGAAGATTTTATTGGATAACAACGAACAAGAGAAAAAAATTAACCAAATGTTTTATTTAAATAAGAAGGATTATCAAAGTCTGAGCTATTTGCTAATAAAATTGCTTTATTTATTATAGTTCTACAGCATCTGTAAATGTTGCAATGAATGTTTCATTCTGTGCATATTTATTACCTAGTTTCATATCTCTAAAATGTTTATTTTTGTAAATGAATAAAATATTGGTGAATATGTGTCTCCTTGCTTTTATTCTTTGGATCCTGATGTTGTATTCCGTTTTCACTTGTTTTTACAACATTAAAAGATTTTGCTCTATTCCATTGCCATGGCCTATGAAATAATTCTATTGATATTACGTTATACTGATCATTTTCAGTCAGAAAAGTATCATGGTGATTAAGTTGTGTATTAGGAATAAGAGAGCTCAATACAGTAGAAATATCTACCTCATCTTTTATAATTATAAGACTTTGGAAATTTAGAACAATGAGAAATTTTACATTGTTCCTTTTGTTATACAATATGCTCTTATATAAAGTTTGTTTAGAGAATGCTTGTTAATGAGTTTTATAAATTTCTTTCATGAAATGTAGTATTTTAATGTTTTTCTTAATTCTAGGAAGCTCTACAAAGGATCATTTCAACTCTGGCAAATAAAAATGATGAAATTCAGAACTTTATTGATACACTAAATCATACACTAAAAGGAGTTCAGGTATGACTTTTTAAATGAAAAATTTTGTGTAAATATGTCACAATGAGTCAAACATGAAGTACAAATATACTCTATGATCTTTGGGTTATACACTAATGGAGTTAAGAGCACGGTTTTAAAATAGTGGATAAGGTAAAAATGTTTACCTTGCAGTTCCTGTTTTCTCCATGGAAAAATCAAAATAGGGAAAAGGAAAACTCTGGAATAATAGTTGTTGGGGAATACCAGAGTGTTCACTTTAGTCCTTTTCCATTTGACATTTTTTCTAATTTCAATTAAGAACAAATTGTACTTTTTGAAAAGTGCTGGCAAATAAGACGTTTCTTTTATAATAAACAATGGAAGAAAAATGTTGGCCATCTATGGTGGCTTATGCCTATAATCTCAGCATTTTGGCAGGCTGAGGCAGGTCAATGGGTTGAACCCAGGAGTTTGAAACCAGTCTGGGCAACATGGCGAGACCCTCATCTCTACCGAAAAAAAAAAGAGAGATGCAAAAATTAGCTGGTTGTGGTAGCATATGCATGTAGTCCAAGCTATGCAGGAGGTTGAGATAGGAGGATCGTTTGAGCCCAGGGGGTTGAGGCTGCAGTGAGCAGAGATTGTACCACTGCACTCTAGCCAGCCTGGGTGATAGAACGAGACTGTGTCTCAAAAAAAAAAAAAACAAAAACAGAAAAGAAAATGTTAATGGTAAGAGGTCTACTTGTAGAAGTAGATGAAAGTAACTTAAAAATAAAAGGTAAAGTCCCCACTGAGGAGGGAGAGGAATACTTAAGAAAATAGTTCTAGGTTTGGGCAGATAATCTAAATTGAAAGTAATGGCATATTGATTGTGGAAGAGAGCTCAAGATAATATGGTTGCTAGAAATGTACAACCTCTCGAGACTGAATCAGAAAGAAATAGAAAATCTGAATAGATCAGTAATGAGTAAGGAAATTGGATCAGTAATGGGTAAGGAAATTGAATCAGTAATAAAGTCTCCCATCAAAGAAAAGCCTGCAACCTGATGGCTTTACTGCTGAATTCTACCAAATATTTAAAGAACTAATATCAGTTCTTCTCAGTCTCTTCCAAAAAAATCAAAGAGGAAGGAGTACTTCCAAATCCATTTACAAGTTCAACATTAATTACCCTGATAACAAAGCCAAACCAGGCATACTACAAAAGGGAGGCCAATATTCCTAATCAACATAGTTGCAAAAATCCTCAAGAAAATGTTAGCAAACTGAATTCAATAGCACATTAAAAGGATCATTCACCATGATCCAGTAGGATTTATGCCTGGGATGCAACGATGGTTCAACAGACGTCAATAAATGTGATACATCATATTAACAAAACTGAAGACAAAAGAAATGCCTGATTATCTCAGTAGATGCAGAAAAAGAATTTGATAAAATTCAACATCCTTTCTTGATAAAAAACTCAACAAATTAGATGTAGAAGGAATGTACCACACATAGTAAAGGCCATATATATAATAGCAATCCCACAGCTATATCATCTTATCAAAGGTGAAAAGTCAAAAGCTTATTATCTAGTCAGGAACAAGACAAAGATGTTTACTTTCACCCCCCTGCTTTTTTTTTTTTTTTTTTGAGACAGAGACTTGTTCTGTCGCCCAGGCTGGAATGCAATGCCGCATTCTCGGCTCACTACAACTTCCGCCTCCCAGGTTCAAGTGATTCTCCTGCCTCAGCCTCCTAAGTAGTGGGACTACAGGGGTGTGCTAAGACACCCAGCTAATTTTTGTATTTTTAGTAGAGATGGGGCTTTGCCATGTTGGCTAGGCTGGTTTTGAACTCCTGACCTCAGGTGATCTCCCCCTCGGCCTTCCAAAGTGCTGGGGTTACAGGCGTGAGCCACTGTGCCCAGCCTACTCTCACCACTTCTGTTTAATACAGTACTAGTAGTCCTAGCCAGAGCAAGTAGGCAAGGAAAAGACATCCAAATAGGAAAGGAAGAAGTGAAATTATGTTTTCTGATGACATGATCTTATATATAGAAGACTCTGGGCCAGGCGCGGTGGCTCAAGCCTGTAATCCCAGCACTTTGGGAGGCCGAGGCGGGTGGATCACGAGGTCGAGAGTCGAGACCAACCTGGTCAACATGTTGAAACCCCGTCTCTACTAAAATACAAAAAATTAGCTCGGCATGGTGTGGCGCGTGCCTGTAATCCCGGCTACTCAGGAGGCTGAGGCAGGAGAATTGCCTGAACCCAGGAGGCGGAGGTTGCGGTGAGCCAAGATCGCGCCGTTGCACTCCAGCCTGGGTAACAACAGCGAAACTCCGTCTAAAAAAAAAAAAAAAAAAAAAAGAAGACTCTAAAGACTCTGCCAAAAAAAAAAAAACTGTTAGAACTGATAAATTCAGTAAAGTTACAGAATGCAATATCAACACACAAAAATTAGTATTGCTTCTATACATGAAAAACGAACTATTTGAAAAAGAAAATAAGAAAACAATCCCATTTGCTGTAGCATAAAAAAGGAGTAAATTTACCTAATGAAATAAAATATTTATATACTAAAAGGTATAAAATAGTGATAAAAGAAATTAAAGAAGACATAAATGAATGGAAAAATATCACGTTTATAAACTAGATGAATTAATATTGCTAAAATGTTTGTACTACCTAAAGTAATCTACCCATTCATTGTAATCTTTATCAAAATACCAATACCATTTTCCACAGAAATAGAAAAAATCCTAATGTGTATATAGGATTACAAGAGACCCAGAATAACCAAAATGATTTTTAGCAAAAAGAACATTCATGGGAGGCCGAGGTGGGTAGATCACTTGAGGTCAGGAGTTTGGGACCAACCTGGCCAACATGGTGAAATGCCATCTCTACTAAAAATATAAAAATTAACCTGGTTGTGGTGGCAGGCACTTGAAATCCCAGTGATTCAGGAGGCTGAGACAGGAGATGCTTGAACCTAGGAGGTGGAGGTTGCAGTGAGCCAAGATTTGCACCACTGTACTCCAGCCTGGGCAACAGAGCAAGACTCTGTCTCAAAAAAAAAACACCCCAAACAAAAAGCTTTATTACTTTAGCTATCTTGAACTATTTTATTGGAAAATTTGGTGAGTTACCTTCCTTTAAATAAGCATAAAGCTAATGGCTCTAAAGCTCTTGATCTATGGACAAGAGAACCATCACATTTGGTATCTGGAAGGAGAGATCTTATGTAGAGCTAGCCCAAACCATTCTTCTGATTGATAAATTATTAGCAGTCTACCTTAACTCTAGGGAAAAAAAGGGAGTGGGAGCATTAAATTATACCCTTGTCTCTGAAGATGGGGGCTTAGTAGTAGGCAAAAGGCAACAAACAAGCTGCCATCTGGTGATTGAGAGGAAAACAGTCCATTTCTTTTTTCTTTTTCTTTTTCCTTTTGAGATGGAGTTTTGCTCTTGTTGCCCAGGATGGAGTGCAATGGTGCAATCTTGGCTCACTGCAACCTCTGCCTCCCCAGTTCAAGAGATTCTCCTGCCTCAGCCTCCTGAGTAGCTGGGATTACAGGCATGTGTCTCCATACCTAATTTTGTATTTTTAATAGTAGAGATGGGCTTTCTCCATGTTGGTCAGGCTGGTCTCGAGCTCCTGACCTCAGGTGATCTGCCTGCCTCAGCCTCCCAAAGTGCTGGGATTACAGGCATGAGCCACTGTGCCTGGCCCATTTCTTTTTTTGAATGAATAAACTGAGGTCTAGGAATGTAAGTACAAGGTCATCCTGTTACTGAGTGGCTAGTGTGCTCTTTGAGTTAGGTCTTCTCCGTTCCGCACTACACATTCCACTTCTATAGTTGTTCTTATCTCTGCAAATAGAACTAGTAAAATCGTTAACACCGCCTTTGGTGAGGTACCAGTGAGGTGTCTAGTTTTTATAAACATTATAAGCAAGAGTTTGGACATTATGGTATTGCAGTAGATTGTGTGTGTGTGTGTGTGTGTGTGTGTGTGTATATATATATATATATATATATATATATATATATGTATTAGTTTTCTTAGCCAGTGCCAGTTCCCTTGTCTTAATTGAATGATTCATCCAAGTTGAAAAATGTCTTAGGATAATTTCTTCTATCTCATAATCGTTGCAAGTGTGGATATTGCTTATCTAGGGATTTTAAGTTATTTTTTGTTGAAATAGCAGCATCCCACTTACGGAGGCAGTGAGGAACTCTGAGAAGTCAAGAGATTTGAAATGGTTTATTGCCCACGTTACTAGTAACTAGTTGTGAGGCTTTGGGCCAGTAACTTATCTGTATTTTAGTTAATAAAATACAGGATTCGACTACAGATTGTAGTCATTAGATGATTCAATATTTGATAAACATCTTAGGATCCAATAAATAATTGCTTAGTCTTTTAATTTCTGTTTATCTTACATAAATACAGTGTTTTAGAGACCCTGAAAGATTTTAAAATTTAGACAAATCTGCCTCATTTCTGTATGTGCAAAGTGTTCCTCAGAATTACTGAATTAAAATCTCTGGAATATTTTATTAAAATACTTCACCAGTGATCCTGATATACACCAGAGGTTAAGAACCACTGGCTTAGAGTCTTCCTGAGAGACTGAAGATCTGGGTGAAGTTGGGAACCTTGAAATAACCTTTCATGTTGTCCTGTGGAAACAGTAAAGTGAAGAGAGTATGGGCTAGTTTATAAAAGGTAACTTAACTGATAGGATAGCTGAAATAGTACTGTCAGCATTAGCAGGCAGTTTGTTTCATTTATCTCTTTAAAGGCTTAAGTCAAATATTAGAATTATGTTATTTTTGTATTAGGCCAACATAGTTTATAATATAAATTTATTCTCTCTTTTGAGTATACCTTTTAGTTTTTAAATGTCTGATAGCTCTTCAGTAAAATTGTTTTGTAATTTAAACAGGAAAATTCATCTAACATACTCTCAGAGTTAGATGAAGAATTTGATAGTTTATACTCTATACTGGATGAAGTGAAAGAAAGTATGATTAACAGTATCAAGCAGGAACAAGCTCGTAAATCCCAAGAGTTACAGGTGAGATCATACAATTATTCAAATATGAATAATAACTTTAGTCTATTTAATGCTTGATTTATGGTAAGCAAAAATTAGTGAATTTTGAAGTTTGTCTATACCCTTACCTTGTAGAAGAATGGCTTTTTGTTTTGGCCGTAAGTGTTCTAAAACTGTGGTTAAAAAACATTTATTCTCTTAACCTTTTTTTTTTTGAGACAGAGTCTCCCTCTGTCACCCAGGCTGGAGTGATCTTGGCTCACTGCAACCTCCGCCTCCCAGGTTCAAGTGATTCTCCTGCCTCAGCCTCCCGAGTAGCTGGGATTATAGGTGCCCACCACCACACCCGGCTAATTTTTGTATTTTTAATAGAGATGGGGTTTCACCATGTTAACCAAGCTGGTCTCAAACCCCTGACCTCAGGTGATCCACCTGTCTTGGCCTCCAGAATTGCTGGGATTATAGGCATGAGCCAACATGCCTGGCCAATTCTCTTCACCATTTTAAAGTATACAGTTTGATAGTGTTAAATATATTAACATTGTTGTATAACAGATCTTCAGAATTTTTTCATCTTGTGCAAGTGTAACTTTATGTTCCTTAATGAACAACTCATTTCTCCTTCCTACGAGCCCCTGGCAGTCATCATATTATTTTCTGTTACCATGATTTTGAATGTCTATATGTCTCATATAAGTGGAATCATATAGCATTTGTCCTTTTGTGACTTATTTCCACTCAGCATAATGTCCCCAAGATTTATTCATGTTGTAGCATATGCTAGGATTTCTTTCTTTTTTGTGATTTAATAATCTTCCACTTATGTATATACTATATTTTCTTCATTCATTTGTATGTCTGTGGACATTTGGGTAGCTTACACCTTTCAGCTCTTGTGAATAATGCTGCAATGAACATGGGAGTTTAAATATCTCTTTAAGATCCTGTTTCAATTCTTTTGAATACATATACTTAGAAGTAGGATTGCTGAATCATGTGGTAATTATCTTTTTAGTTTTCTGAGGACCCTCTAAACAATGTTTTCCATAGTGGTTGCACTATTTTACATTTCTACTAAGCCCAAGGCTTCCAATTTCTCCACATCCTCACCAATGCTTTTTATTTTCTGTTTTTTTGGATAATGGCCATCATAATGGGTATGACATGATATTTCATTATGGTTTTGGTTTGCATTTCTCTAGTGATTAGTGATGTTGAGCATCGATCTTTTCATGTATTTGTTGGCCATTAATGTACTTTCTTTTTTTTTGAGACGGAGTCTTGCTCTGTCACCCAGGCTGGAGTGCAGTGGTGCCTCTGGGTTCAAGTGATTCTCCTGCCTCAGCCTCCTGGCAAGCTGGGATTACCGGTGTGTGCCACCATGCCTGACTAATTTTTTGTATTTTTAATAGAAACAGGATTTCACTGTGTTAGCCAGGATAGTCTCACTCTTTTGACCTTGTGTGATCTGCCCGTCTTGGCCTCCCAAGCTTCTGGGATTACAGGCATGAGCCACTGTGCCCGGCCAACTGATTAATATATTTTCTTTAGAGAACAGGTTCTTTGGCCATCTTTTAATTGGATTACTTGTGGGGTTTTTGGTGGTGGTTAAGTTGTAGGAGTTCTCTATTCATTCTGTATATTAACTCCTTATCAGGTATATTATTCGAAGTTTGTTGAGATAATAAAAGAACAGAACTCCCTAAGAGTCTTACTATTTTGAAGCAGAGTCAGGGCTGAAGAAGGAGAGCTCCAATAATATTCATGTTATGGCATGTGGATTTTGATCTTGTAGGAGAGTTTTCCTTTTTAATTTAAGGTGCTTAAATTTTCAGAATTAGATAATCTTCACCCATTGTGGATTTTGGGCTTAAAATATGTCTTCAGACTTCTAGAACAAGTGATTTTTTTTTTTTTATATAAGAACTTATTGTTTGACAGCCTTATACAGAGCTGCATATATGTGTACACAAGTAAAATATACAGTGCTCTTCTTAGACTGGGCTGAATTTATTGCTCTTGTAAACTGATGAATTTATATTTTTACTTTTGACTAAATTCCCAACAGTACATCATTGGGTCATATAAATTTATCTAAACTTTTTTTGTCATGAAGCCTCCGGTAAACTCTGTCCACTTTCGGTTTTGTGGATCTTAATTACAATAATGAACACAGTGATTTTTTTTTCAGCTTATCTGATCTGATTCATGGAAATCTGTTAAAATTGTATTTAGGCTTTTTTTAAATGGGACGACTTTACTCTGATTTTTTGATCAAGTATTCTAACAAATTCATCGTTAGTTTTTGATTATCAGTGGGGAATTTAAAATGTTGCAGAAAATGGAACAAACAATTTAAATTTTGTTTGGAAGTGGTGATAGCAAAGGTGTTAGCACGATCTTCTCTTACTTTATCACCATTTCAGCTCTATGTTTTTTTCAGTTATTCCATTCGGCTTTTATCTTTTATATTTTATTATCCTGTGTAAGTCTTAATATTTATGTCTTCTCAATACCACAGAACTATTGGTAATTTTTTTTTACAGGGATAGGGATCTAGGGGAGATCAAGGTATACTAAAGGGACAATAGTTGGTTATAAAATAAGACTGAGTTATTGAAACATAAACTTGGTGAACAAAACTATTCATTCTTGAACTTGTTACTGTGTTATGATTCAAAGGAAAAGCTATGATGATATATCAACCTAATGGAAATTGAACCATAAAGTTTTCTTGGGATGGCTTAAAAAACAAATATGAAAAAGAGTCAGGCTTGGCTACTGAGGCCATTTCCATCTTTAGTTGAAGGTTGTAGAGAATCTGTTCTTTTTTTTAGGTTTACAAAGTTATTCATAATATCTCTGAATAACTGGTAAGTTAATGCTCTTAAATTGCATTCCTCTGTAACCTGCCCCTGTTTTTGTTTTTCCAAAGAGTCAGACTTGGCTACTGAGGCCATTTCCATCTTAAGTTGAAGGTTGTAGAGAATCTGTTCTTTTTTTTAGGTTTACAAAGTTATTCATAATATCTCTGAATAACTGGTAAGTTAATGCTCTTAAATTGCATTCCTCTGTAACCTGCCCCTGTTTTTGTTTTTCCTCTTGTCCTCAGAGCAAATCCATAGCATTTCTTAGAATAAAATATTTTATCCAAAACTTTGACCTCAGTCTGGACTTTTAATAATTCCTTGTGGTATATTTCCTGTTCTCATTTTTTTTACTTTATTACTACGTTGACGTTGTCTGCCCATTGATCCTACCATTTTGTTCTCAATGATTTTGCTTAAACCTTTTTAATAAAGCTTATCTCTAAATGGGATATTCCAAATGGTTATTGGTTAATTCTTGCTTGGGACTCATGAGATTTACTGCCCCATAAGAGGGGCAGTATTTTTACAAAATTGTGATTAGGTTTTTAAACTAACACATGAAACTGTATTTTAACCCAAAACATGACTGAACTGTTCTGCTTTTCCAAAGTCAAATAGTAGAACACATCAGAAACCAGTAAAATCAGCCATGGTTTATCTTTAGTCCTAATCCTGAGGGAAAAATAAGTAAATTTGAATCTCAGATTTAATATTAATAAATATTGTGAAGAAAAATCTTTGGTACATTTAAAAGCTTAGAAATAAGATCTATTTATTTGTTTGAAGGTAAACTAACAATCTTTTCAAGTTATACATAGAGACAACTGAGCAAGAAAGATTGTATTAGATAGAATTCATATGTGAGCAATAAAGACAGAGCACATCACTATAACAACTGCCTTCTTTTGAATTTCTTTGGAATTTTTTTTTGAATTCTAGGAACTTACATTAGTAGTTCCTATGCTATCCAGTCTTAGAAACTATAAATTAGCATTTATAGTAGTATGCATTACTTGTGTAGTTTGACGAATGAAGTACTAAGATTGTGCTCAACTGAATGTACCTGTAACTTCATTTACAAATTACGGCTTAAATAGTTAACTACCACCAAGAATTTTAGTCTTCATTACAGAGGATGTTGTCTGTAGATAGATTATTTTGATATTTTGATTTAAATTGAAGATATTTTCCTGACTATCCTGATTGAGAAGAGTGCTTAAGTTAATTTGGCTTTAGTTATTTATAATTTATTTTCTTTTTCATTTCAAATGATGAGTATATCTTTACCTTTATGCAGTTAAGCTGTTTTTGATAAATCCATGGAAAGAGGTACAAAGTATTAAGATAATTAAAATTTGTTATTTATCTATCTATATATATAAAACAAATATAACAAGTTTTATATGTATAAAACTGGTCTTGGTTATCTTGCTACAATAGCTCACTGAACTATTTTTGCTGTGTTATTGCTATGAAAATTATTTGTAAGTTCATTATAACAATTTATATTTAAGATTCTGATGGCAATAGGAAGTTTCATTTTAATGATTTAGTGTTTTTTTTTTTTTTTTCCTAGAGTCAGATTAGTCAATGTAATAATGCCCTGGAGAACTCTGAAGAACTACTAGAATTTGCAACAAGGTCATTAGATATAAAGGAACCTGAAGAATTTTCAAAGGTATGCAAGAACTGCATTAATACACTTAACAAGGAAAGTTGTGTTTTTAAAAAGGCGTTTTTGTTTTTCTTTAGTTTTGGATTTCTTTCCTCATTTCTGATACTAATAAAGGCTTGGGGTTTCTTGATAAGTAAAATGCTAGTTGTTTGTTTATTCCAAAGCAAACACTTAAAAGTATGTGTCTTTGTGGTCATTTATAAACATGTTTAAAAAGTGTTTTTGTGTTCCTTCTATGAACTGATTGGGAAAGCATCCTTAACTTTATGCATACGAGCACTGTAACTGTGTAACTTCTTATTGCAGATAAATGCCCCGCCACTTAATTTAAGTGAGTGTTTTATTAAAACACGAAATGTGTATCCTTACTTAAGGGATATGCTTAGTATAAAAATGTAAAGAGTAGAGCAAGAAACTACTATTGTTTTAACTTAGATCCTGGTGTTTAAGTGATTGTAAATTCTAAATTCTAATGCTTCTTTTAAGTAGGGTCATTTTAAATGATTACCATTTTGTCAAATAGAAATTCGGAAATGTAGAATATATTTTAAAATGATGTGAAAAAAGTGGGAAATTAAGCTATATAATTAGCAAAATATTACTGCGTAGTTATCAAGATAAGATTTGACTTTGATGTTATTTACTTCACCTTTGTGGAGTGTGTAGTGAGCTGCATTGGTGTTAGAAAGTAGCTTTATAATTGATTTATGCCTAGTGATTGTTTTCATTTTATGATTTTCTGTAAACTTGAAGGTAGAAAAAACTTTTTTGAGAAGGTAACATTTACCACCTTACATCTTTGAATATTAAAATTGAACTTTAACATTGATTTCTTCTTCTAAACAAATGAATCAAAACAAAGGTTCTTTTGCTGTAAGCCAGTAAATGAATTAGTTCTTTACATTTGGAGGTGAGTTGTAATGAAGTTTACTTAAGACATAGTTAGACTTATCATATAAAGGGATTATGAGAGAAATGTACGATACTTAAAAGTACTTTAAAAGTATGATATGTTGGCCAGGTGAGGTGTGGTGGCTCATGCCTGTAATCCCAGCACTATGGGAAACCAAGGTGGGTGGATTGCTTCAGCACAGAAGTTTGAGACCAGCCTGGGCAACATGGCGAGACCCTGTCTGTACAAAATATACCAAAAAATGAGCTGGGCATGGTGGTATGCACCTGTATTCCCAGCTACTTGGAGGCTGAGCTGGGAGGATTGCCGGAGCCTAGGAAGTCTATTTCCTATTTGTCAACAAATTCTCCTTTTAGTGGAGTCGGGCAGTTGTTAATGACAGGCATAGTCATAGCAGCAAGAATTACCAACGGACAGCCTGAGAGTGAGGAAGAAGACAAGAAAACTATAAAATATGGATGCTAATACTCAAAAATGCTTTGAATCCATTTGATTTAGGGAGGGACTGATACTTGGAAAAACTGTGATAAAAGTTTATTTCTCCCATGTTTCTCTTTTTGTTGACATTTTCAGAATTCTTCTCTCTTCTTTCTCCTAGATACTAACCTTTTCTCTTTCACTGTCCTTTGTTCTTTCCAGTTTTGTTGCTATTATAATTTGTCCTGAAAGATTATTGATTAGAAAGGTTCTGATAAAATAAGTCACATTGTGGTTTAATATGCTACTTTGCTTATTCTTACTATTTTGGTCTTGTCTTGCAGCAGTTTATAGTACTATTTAGTAGCTTAAACCATTTGGAGATGTGGTGAAATGAACTACAACTATGGGTCGCTTAATGATGAGGACGTGTTCTAAGAAATGTATCTCGTTAGGCAGTTTCATCATTGTGGGAACGTTGGAGTGTAATGGCACAAATCTAGATAGTATAGCCTACTACCTACCTCACTTGACTGTATGGTATAGTCTGTTGCTTCTGTGCTACAAACCTGTGTAGCATGTCACTGTACTGAATACTGTAGGCAATTGCAATACAGTGGCAAGTATTTGTGCATCTCAACATACAAAGGGTATAGTAAAAATACAGTATTATAATTTTATGGGACCACCATTGTATATGCAGCCTGTTATTGACTGAAACATAGTTATGTGGTAATTACTGTATCTTTCAGTGTTTCCTAGGCAGAAATCTGGTTTTGTCATTCTGGAAAAATGCTTAACTGAGAGCTGCTACAATTTTCTTCATGTATTCAAATACTATCCAGATAATGATTTGATTCCCTGTCAAAAACTAAGTTAACTTTCCTAGCCAGCTATGGACTACAGGCCTGCCACAGACAGGACGAGTTGCTGACTGAATAGGTAGAGATGACTTTGGAGATTGTCAGTCTAGCAGTATATTGTTAGATGTCTGGAAAAAGAAATTCCTTTAAAGTATACTGTTTGTGAATATCCCATATTAAAGTGCTTAAATGAGATTAATATGAATGGCTTATGGGGACAAAAAGAATAGCATAGGCCAAAATCGAGGCAGTGTGTCTTTTCATACTTCCTTATCTTCAAAAAGTATTTTAAGTTCTAATATTTAAATTATCACATTGCATTATCTCATATAAGAACTGAATATGAAGCTATGCTGTATATCAGCCTTTTACTTTCTGAAAGTAAACAAATAAAAATAGCACAAATGCAAAAAAGATTTTAGAACATACCTTCACTAATTTTTTTAACTGCTAGAAATTTGGTTGTTAGTAAATTGATGCAGAAGGATCACCAGCAAATTGGATCCAGATCAATCATAGCTTTATTCCTGGACTTACAGATTGGCAACATCCCACCAAATGTGGGTTCTCTGCTAATAGCTGGCCTGTAGACCACTGCTTGGGTCCTTTACTAGAATTAATATTTTTATTCCCACCCTGACTTTAGACCTTGAATGCTCTCTATATAAAGAGCTGGGTCAGTGGGACAATTTCCAAGTCAGTATAACTAACTTGCCATCACAGTCTTGCCACACATACTCCAGTTGTCAGACTAGAAGGGAGAAAATGGTTTCCTATCCATGGGGTCCCTAAAATATAGGAGTAAAAAGTACAGAATTAGGTGAAAGGGGAACAGTGTCTTCTGCATTTGATCACAGATGAAGAGGGAGAATGGGTTTAGTGTATTTCCCACATCTCACTCACAGTGGATGATTCATCTGTAGAATATTGTCCAATGAGTGTTAGGCTCTGACCACTGGCAAGAGTAAGAGGGGGAGTAGGTAGAAGCTATCTCAGTACTTTCAAATGAGCAGAAATGCTGCCAGAAACTTCCTCTGTAGGCTGAAGTGTAGAATATTAGGAGACAGGAGAGGATCTTCAACAAAAGCACGACTGTTTCAGTTTTGAGGGCAATATAAAAAAACAGATCTAAATATTTGTTAAGCATAGGTCAAACTGTAATTTTCACCTTAATGTGATCTCCTGTTGTACAAATGTGCCTAATCATAAAACAATTGCCTGCAGTGCTGTATTTCAAAGTGTGTTTTAAGTTATTTGCTGTGGCTTTTGTGATAGATTTTTTCAAATGATCATGCTTTTTGAAAAATAGTTCCTTTTATAAACAGATAAATATATATCTACCAAATGCAAAACTGCCAATGTATGAAATCAGCTGGTATGCAATCTGTTTTTTTTTCCAAAGATGTATATTTTTTGCCTGAAAAAAAATAATGTTTTGGCCGGGCGCGGTGGCTCACGCTTATAATCCCAGCACTTTGGGAGGCCGAGGTAGGTGGATCACACGGTCAAGAGATCAAGACCATCCTGGTCAACATGGTGAAACCTCTTCTCTACTAAAAATACAAAAAATAAGCTGAGCCTGGTGGCGCGCGCCTGTAGTCCCAGCTACTCGGGAGCTGAGGCAGGAGAATTGCTTGAACCCAGGAAGCGGAGGTTGCAGTGAGCCGAGATCATGCCATTGCACTCCAGCCTGGGTAACCAGAGTGAAACTCTGTCTCAAAAAAATAATAATAATAATAATGTTTTGAGGCTATCTCTTTTTCCCTCTCCCTTATTATAAAAAGAGAAATGATGATATTAAAGAATAAAGATAGAAACAATAAGATAGTTTATCTTCAAAGTGCTTGATAAATTCACAGAAGAAAATAGATTCTGTATTCACCCATTACAGATTAAGAACAAGAGAGATTGTGAAAATATATATTTAACTCATTTCTCTATAATTTGGAAAATATCTGGTTTAACTTCTTTAAATTTAATTGGCAGTTATGAAGATTGGTTTGTGATTACGTCTACATTATACTTGTATTGCAGTTTCTCTGCATTCATATCAGAGAGGGTGCCTACCTTTCTCCCTCCCTCCCTCTCTCTTTCTCTCTCTCTTCCCTCATTCCCTCTCTCCATCTCTAAGTTAATTGTTTTTAAACTAAATCTTAGAATTCCATTTCTTTAATCAGTCATAGAAATGTGTCACCAGAGACCAAACTTCTTTAACTAGAATTGTGATACTGAATTTTGTTAAACATCTGTTTAATTAGTACCACCTGATTCTGAGATTTACCACTGCTTTGTTGCCAAGATGTTTATTTGAGCCCACATAATTCCACATAGTGAGTTATGAAGAAGCTGCAATGAATGTTAAGATTTATTTTTAGGTTATGGTACTGTGTATTATTGAAAAGCTTCCATGAAGCTTAGTCATATTGCTTTACTCAACATCACTCTTTAGATCTTCTGTTGAAATCCTTTTTGCCAAGTTTGTAATTGAAAAAGTTCACCATTCCTGAAGTAGAAACTTAGAGGAATCAAGCTGTATAGTATCGTGTATCTTTTGGATACCTTTCTGTTTTGAGAGAAAAAAATTCTAGAAAAAAATTATTTTCCAATTTAAGAGAGTTATTGAAATTGGGACCTTTCAGAGAAATATCTTCAGAATTTGAAACTCTGCCTTCTAATCATTGCTTAGAATAACTTCTTAAACCTCTCTTGCATTCATGCAATATATATGTAGTAAAATTTGAACCTAAGTGAAAGTGGAGCCATGTGAGTTTTCAGTTTTACCAGCTGGGTGTATTCTATATAAATGCACGGACAACAGTTTTTCCTAGATTATCTGGCTTTTCATTTATTCCTTTCCTGATTTTTCACAAACAGCATGGTACATGAAGTGATACCATGGAAGCTTTGCATGCACACATATGTGCACACACACACTAAAAAAAGTCACCTTATTAAATTCAGTAACACTTGACACAAAATTGAATCATTGTGGTCAATTTAAAAAACAGTAGTGGTCTTTATATCATTGGGTTATGCAAGAGTGATTGATAATATTCCTCTAACCAAGTTCAAAACCAATTAGGAAATAAGATAAAACAAAACTGAGAAGAGGCCAAATAATGATAAAAGGATATTGGAAAATATGGCTGTTATTGGGCAAGTTTCCATAATAAATTCCTAGAATTAGACAAATTCACCCAGCTATAATCAGCAGGGGCTACCTCAGGTGATGGGCAGGGGAAGCATCTTTCAGTGAAAGTTATGGCACAGAGGGAAAGAACAGAATATATGTTCACTGTGGGCAAGCAAGCTGCCAGAAAAAGCAGAAGGTCCTGAGCTACTAATTTCTGGTTTCTCCTTTGAAACCCATTATCAGATAAGTCATACCATTTTCCTAGGAGAAATAAGGGAATGGAGAGGCAAAGAGTAATCCTAGTAGTACTTGTTTCATATCAGGTACAGAGACGAGTCCTCTATTCCCCTCCCCTAACACTTACATTAAAATCTTTATTTTGTAATTCTAGCTTTAATGACAGTAGTTTAAAAAATCAATGTAATTAACTTTTTAATAATTTTCCTGTCTCTTGTACTAAGGTAGTTTTATGACTTAAGATACATACAGATGCCACAGAATTTTGCCTGTTTGCTGTAGAATGTGGGCCTTGGAAATGATTTTCAGAAACATTAAGAAACAAAATTTCTTAGTAAAGAAATAGAATGATTAGTGTACAGGTCTCAACTGATTAATAGTAGTGCTGAAACTGTATGATATGCTGATCTCTTAAATCTCAGTTCTGTGTATTTGAGTAGAAAGGGTACTCAGACCAGAATATTTTAGGGCAGATATAAAAATGACCAATAACAAATAGGAACAATATTAGAACTGAGGAAAAGAGGCCACAGAAGCATTGCTACATATATCTAATTAACATTCAAATAAATTTAATAATTATTAAGTCTTACTCTGTCCTAAGCATTTTGCTAGGCACTGGGAATGCAGTGTTGATCAAAACAGCCTGGTCTATATCTGATATATTGTTAACTATACTTGTTACTGTGGGGAGAAAAGCTTTTGTTGGATATATTGTATGTAAATGTAAAAGGGACAAAAAAAGTGCTTGTTTTTTATTATTTTGTATGACCATGCAACACCAAGTAAATAGCTGAGTTCCCTTTCTAAACTGCTTGCATTAAAAAAAAGATGAAAGACAGACCTTATGTATAGGTTTAAGTTGGTAGCATCTATGAAATCATCATGGAGAAAGACCCCATTGCTAGAAGTGTTTCTCTGGTCTCTTTGTGTCTGGATTTCTGCCATTACAACTTTCTTTGGAGTAAAGCTTTGTAGAATTGCAGCCTAGTTGTATTTGTTAGCAGGCAAGCTCTCAGAATTCCTTGCCCTATAGAGGCATATAGAGAAAACTTGTAACAACCATTATGAAGTAGTGAAAGAGATCTCTGAAGAAAAATTAGAGAGTAAATTTGACATGTACAAGAAAACCATGAAAGAAGTTGTCCCATGAAGGAGGTTGCTTGCTCTAGTTGACAAGTTACCAGACTGAATGAAAGTGGAGGTGTGTTTTGATAATCTTAAGGTAAGAAAAAAACATTTATAGTCACTGGGAATTTGAAGTGTTAAATTTTCCTCCAAAAAGGTGATCTATGTGGGATCTGGATTTTCTGCTATAGTTGTAACATCACATGATGAAAGCTTATGTGAACTATACACATACATTTCCTATAGTTTATGTTTTGGTGAATATGAACTAATCTATTGCAGGGTTTATATCCTAACTTTTCTTGCATGTCACTGCCATTGAAACTTGCATGAAAAGCACTAACTGCCTTCTTTCTCTTCTCCCTGATTGGCTCCAAGGCTGCCAGACAGATCAAGGATAGGTATGGTATAAAACACATTTTTATTTAAGTATCAATATTGAAGTCAGAAATGAAATTCAGAAATAATTTTTTTATTAGAATTGTGTTAGTTAAGATAAAAATACCCAATGACCAAGTACAAAATAAAATATCCTCTGTATATTTTCTTGGAATAACCGTTGTATCAATAAGTTTTTTTAAAAGCATAGTTGTGGATAATTATGTGCTTCAGAAGAATTTCATTTCTGGTGTAATAATGTAGTTAGTTTTAGTTTTAGAACAGTTCTTAATTAGCTGTACTAATGGAGAGGGGACTATTTTGAATAACTCAAAAATATATATTCCTGGAATGTGTTTTTTGTTGTTAAATTTAAATATAAGTGTATCTTATTTTCTATGAACTCACTGATTTTAAGTAGTCCTCAAGAGCTAAAGCTCTCCTACTTCATTACCCTCCTGTTTAACACCTTTGTATTCTCATTCCATCCTGTTCCTGGTGCCATCTCTTTCTATTTCTAATGCCACCACTATATAGTTAATAATCTATGGGAAGAGAAAATTAAAGAAAATTATTAAAGGTTTTGGCTTAAAAGGTCTTTCTCATTGGTAGAGCCAGGATTGAGAAAAGGTATTTAGTACTTGTTGCAACAAACATAGAGTCCTAAAGGAGTTGCTGGCAACATTTGGATTGCATTAACACAGAAGGAACAGTTTGGATCTGCCTGTCTTGTCACTGAGCATTGTCTGTATTGAGATTGTAACAAGACTTTCTTCTGAGGATCATGAGATTCTCTGAAAGGCACAGCTCTGTAAAGTACCATTTCAAATCCTAGGTTAAATTATTCTTCATCAGATAATTCATAAAAATTTTCATTGTAGATTATGTGAAAAACAGTGCCTCTATTGTTAATCTTGGCTGAAAATTTTAATTCTGGGTTTCTCTCTCTCTCTCTTTTTTTTTTTAAGGCAGAGTCTTGCTCTACTATCCAGGCTGAAGTGCAGTAGCACTCCAACCTGAAGCTTCTGCCTCCTGGGCTCTGCCTCAGCCTCCTGAGTAGGTGGCACTATAGGTATGTGCCACCATACCCAGCTAATTTTTGTATTTTTTGTAAAGACAGGGCCTTCGTATGTTGCCTAGACTAGTCTGGAACACCTAAGCTCAAGCCGTCCGCCCAGCTTGGCCTCCCAAAGTGCTGGGATTACAGGCATACCCTATTGTGCCCAGTCCTATATTAATTTTTATATATATTTTATATATTTTACATCAGGCAGTAGCTAAAGGCATGTATCACTCCTTTAAATCCTGGATCTAGAAAGATGATTGTGAAAGTTTGAAGGTGAAAAATATTAGCTGTGTGAGGAATGGATGATAAATAGGTCAGTTTTGTGGATAAGGTAGATTTGGGTTGTGTCAGGAATTTGCTATGAGTCATCCATCTTCCTCCCTGGCTATATTATACTTCCTGTTTAGCTACCTATAATACTACATCTTGCTCTAGTTCCTAATTTTCTGAATTAGAAGTTACTTCCTAATCACGACCTTACAAAATCTCTCTTTTTTTCAAGATTCTGTATGGCTCTTTGCATCACAGAATCTTGTCTGTGTCCTTGAACTCTTTCTCTTTGCCCAGATTTGTTTGTGAGAATTTAATTTTATAACCAATTTCAAGGCTGTATTATTTACTGAAGCTTGTGTTTTTTTGCCTCCTCTAAGCCAGCCTCTTGGCTTGATTTTATTGATATCCAGGTGATCTCAGGAATTAGGGTTCAGGCACACTCCTTTGTTTTTTGTTTTGCTTTTTTTTTTGGCTTGTTCAAAGCTTATAGCATTTTTGTGGCCCCTGCAAAGTTTTTATTTCCTGCCCAAGGAACATTTCTGAGTCTCAACTTAGTTTTTTTTTCCCTCCTGTCACCCAGGCTGGAGTGCAGTGGTACAATGTTGGCTCACTGCAACCTCCGCCAGTACTCCTGCCTCAGCCTCCCAAGTAGCTGGGATTACAGGCACCTGCCACCACACCCAGCTGTGTGTGTGTGTGTGTGTGTGTGTGTGTGTGTGTGTCTAGAGACAGGGTTTTGCCATGTTGGCCAGGCTGGTCTCAAAGTGATCTGCCTACCTTGGCCTCCCAAAGTCCTGGGATTACAGGTGAGAGCCGCTGCACCCAGCCCTTAAACTTAATTTTTTAAATTTGATGTTTAGCTTTATAATGTCCAGGTTTCTCTGATGTAGTTTTTGGTATTCCTCAACAGTGAGCTTTTTGAATTCCATTATTGCCATTTAAAATGTAAAAATAATTTAAACATGCAGTCATAATAAAATAGTTACTTTAGCTATTTTCACCAAGCAAAGAAAGGATTTTTTTTTTGAGACAGAGTCTTGCTTAATCACCCAGTCTGGAGTGCAGTGGCATGATCACAGCTTACTGCAGCCTGGACCTCCTTGGCTTAAGGGCTCCTCCCACCTCTGCCACCCAAGCAGCTGGGACTGCAAGCATGTGTCACCATACCCATTAATTTATTTGTATCTTTTGTAGAGTTGGGGTTTCGTCATGTTGTCCAGGCTGGTCTCAGACTCCTGGGCTCAAGCCGTCCTCCTGCCTCAGCCTTCTGAAGTGCTGGGGTTACAGATGTTTGCCACCTTGCCTGGCCTAGGATTATCTTTTTATAAGGGCAGAGATGGATTTTAAGGGAGAATGTGTAACATATCTGAGCAAGGAATTAAATATAAACAATGAAAATATCTGAAAACTCATTATCATTTGCTATGGTAGAAGTTATACAGAGGAACAGCAGGATTAGGAGAGAAAACTAAGGATAGAAATAAGATAATAGCACATCTCTATTACTGGCGTGTACTTCTGGGCACTTAATAATACTGAAATATGATTAGTTGAGATATATTGCAGGAGTTACCGGTTCTTGAAAGACGGGTTATGAAAGGCTCAAGTTAATTAGGTAGTTTGAGGAAATTGAAAGTGTTCATATGTTTTGTAGTTGTTTTCTTCTTGCAGAAATCAAGAGGAAAGGATCCTTGAATTCACCTTGCACTAGTAGAAATGAACTAAGAAAATCAAGGGGAATTGAAACATACCTAGCCACATGGATCCTGTAGTATAGAGAATTATCTAAAGAATTTTAGATGTTTAGTTCAGGCTTTGAGGCACATGTCTAAATATATGAAGTAAAAAATTAAAGTTCAATCTTCTGAAAGATTGTAGCATTGCTGCACATCTAAATTGGTTCATGGAAACCTTTAAATTTTCATTCACTAGGAAATAAGGGTTGTTTTTGTTTTTTTAAGCTGTGATCAGCCTTTCTAATGTGTTTATAGGGCATATTCTTTTTCTTTGATGTCATGGTGATTAAAGTCTTACAGGTTTAAGATTCTCTAAAATACTTTCAGATTTTTTTTCCCTCAATATTTCTGAGTAAACATTTAAATATTTGGTCAGGCTTTGAAGAAACCAAGTAGATTCAAACCTATTCACCGATTCAGTGAGCATTTATTAAGTACCTACAGCTCTTTCAGATGTCCTCAAATCAAAGGATACTTGGGGCTGTAAAAAATAACATCTGAAGGACTTAGGATTTGTTCCTTTTTATTGAAATTGTGTTATTTGAGAGCCAAACAGTTTAGTGTAATATGCATGAAATACTCAGCATTATAGTTGGCATATACTGCATTCAGTCAGTGTGAGTTCCCTTTTTTGTAAATTGTATTTCAGTGTAGCCCTTTCTTCTTGATAAACACATCAACTGTTGTTTACTCATTGTTACTATTAAATGATTACTAGTTTTAAAATGAAGTAAAATAACTGAAGATAGAAACAGTTTGATATTTTTCATCCCAAAATAAGTGAATACAACAAGTTTGACATCTTTCATTTCATTGACTTCTCGGATAGATTTGGCAGATATGGTTGACAAGGCCAAGTATTCCCTTTGTCCACCAGCTCTGTTTCCTTCCTTTTCCAAATTGTGTACTAGGAGGATAGTGTTCACCTATAGTACTTCTCATCATTCTTGAACCAAAGATCGTAAGGGCTTACTTTGTGATACTTGTGGAAATGTACTGGAATAAGAAAAATGGAAATTTGAGATAAAATTACAAATTAATAGAATAAGAGGATTTCTTTTAATCTCCAGTTTTAATGGACTGCAGTTTCTGTGTACTTTGGATAAAGTGGCTTCATTCTTTTTTGGTTTATCTAGTAAATGTTTATTGAATTCCTATTGTTTCCATGGCGTATCGTTTTTCACAGGGTTGTTTCTTATAGTATGTTTTCCTATGTCTGATATTGATTGATCAGAGTGACACCTAGTATGGTATTCATTGATAGTGATTTCACTTATCCATGGCCTTTCTTTAGCAACTACCAAACTATACAATATTTGGTCAATCTGCCTCTACTCTTATTTGAGGGTACATGGGTTAGCTCTTTTGACTAGGGAGAATGTTTGAGTCAGGGTGTGATTCAAATGAATTTAAGTTCATTATCTGGCATATGAAAAGGAGTAAGGCTGGCATCAGGAAGTCAGTAAGATTGAGTGTACAGAGGTTCAGGTGAATGTGGGGTCTGGTAAAGATTATTTTTATCGGATATGTTTCTTATTTGTATATGTGCAATTTAATACAAATTGGCTGGAGGAAAGTTGCTAATGAATTCTCTTAAATATCTTTAAAAAGACATTTTGTAGTGTTTTTAATCTAGTTAATTTTGAAAAGACTATAAGAGCAAATTTCTATTTCACTTTTACTTTTGTTATAGTCTCTGAAATTGTTAGTGATATAATTTGTCTTTTCATTTTAGAAATTAAATATTATTTGGTACTTCCTATTCTTTTATTTTAAAAAGTATGTTTGTGTTTACCATAGAGTCACAATGGCTTCAGCCTTTCGCCTTTCTTTGAAACCCAAGGTCAGTGACAACATGACTCATTTAATGGTGGATTTCTCACAGGAAAGACAAATGCTGCAAACTTTGAAGTTTTTGCCAGGTAAATACATGTATTACATGTAAAGTTTTGTATAAAAACTTTTTTTAAAAAGATTTTTTTGCAATGAACATTGGTATGTAAATATTGAGGAAGTATAGTGTGATTTTTTTTTTTCATTCAGCTAAGGAATAAGTAAATTTGCTAGTCTTTTATTTTTAGAGATTTTGTTGGTAGTAAAAATTGCATTTTAAGAATCCAATCAAGGGATCTTTTATTGTTAGCTTGGCAGAGGGAAGCAGTATGGTGTGATGGTTAACAGTGAGTCTCAACGCCAGACTTCTCAGGTTTGAATCCTCTTGCTTACTTGCTATGTAATCTTGAACAAGTTACTTAACTTACTTCATTTTAACATCTTTCAAATGTGATATTATTCTTCTAGGGTTTTTATAAGGATTAAATAAATTGATACCTCCAAAGTATTTCTAATACTATCTGCATATGGTTAAAATTCAGTAAATGTTAGGTGTTATTATTATTGTTGTTGTGATTGTTGGCTCAGATGGAACTTTAGTAATATGTTAACATTGTTTTATAAAGTATTAATGTGAGGATATTGCAGTAACCAAAACCATTTGTGATAGAGTTCTAAATTATTCATATATGTACAAGAGCCAATTAAGGACCAGCTTAGTCTGTTTTGTGTTGCCATAACAGAAGGCCTGAGACTGGGTAATTTTTTATAAAGAAAAGAGGTTCTGTAGGCTGAGAAATTCAAGACTGGGCAGCAGTGTCTGGCAGCTTCTGGTGATAGCCTCATGCTGCGTCAAAACATGATGGAGTACAGAAGCGGAACCAGACACATGCAAAAAAGGCAAAACAAGAGAGGCAGCCTCACTTTGTAAGACCCTTCCTTCATGGGAACTGGGAACTAATCCATTTTTACAAGAACTGACCTAGTCTTTTTTTTTTTTGGAGACAAAGTCTTGCCTGTTACCCAGGCTGTAGTGCAGTGGTGCAATCTCGGCTCATTGCAACCTCTGCTTCCCAGGTTCAAGTGATTCTCCTGCCTCAGCCTTCTGAGTTGCTGGGATTACAGGCACACACCACCACACTTAGCTAATTTTTTTGTATCTTTAGTAGAGACGGGGTTTCACCATGTTGGTCAGGCTGGTCTCAAACTCCTGACCTTGTGATTCACCCGCTTGGCCTCCCAAAGTGCTAGGATTACAAGCATGAGCCACTGTGCCTGGCCACCCAGTCTTTTCAGAAAGATGTTAATCTGTTGTGATGACCTAAACACCTCTTAAAGGCACCACCTCCCAACACTGCCATGTTGGTGACCAAACTTCAAAATGAGTTTGCTAGGGACAAGTCAGGAATATGGCTTACAACCTTTTGGTTAGGTTTTTTCTGAGCATCATGTTGCTGATAACTAAAACTATATAGAGGTGATTTGAGGGATCAAGGAATTTCCTGAAAGTGACATGTTTTACTTACAAGTACTTGTTTTGGAGGTTAGCTGTTTTTGAATAGAGAATGTTGGCTATATGAAACTGTTTCTTTTTTTCTTGAATATATATGATAAGGGACTTTAAATATGATTGGAAAAACAGGTTGGTAGTTGTAGCACTTTATTGGAACCTAGGAAGGGTAGCGCAAGTGAAGTACTAATTTGTGTGATATAGATTGGAAGTTCTAGAGGAGTTCATAAAAGGAAAAGATGAGAGAAGGAACTGTAGTTGTAGAGGAAGAAAGTATACTTGTCATTGCCTACTTACCAAAACAATGGCCTTTCAGAATTTCTATATTTTCATTCACAGGGCTCTACTTAAGAGTGAAACTGCTATTAAAGCAGGAATAAACATTTTTGAAAGTTTTATTTTGGTTACCATATAATTTAAAATGGTTTGGTCTTTTCAGTCTGATATACAGAATTTATTAGTGAGAAGCTGGATTTTATTTTAGTTTTTAAAATTTGAGGTGGTAGTATCAAAGTTTCACAGTTTACCAGTTAACTGAGGTTTACTTTTAAGTAGAACACTCTTCTGTTCACCTGTGGGAGATAGGGACTTAAATTTCAGACTAGAAAGCATATCTCCAAATGTGAACTCTTACTTAAGAAAGGAGAATAGAAAATATGTTTAGAAGTCACATTAACTATATGTCTCTGCTTACCACCAGTATGACCCTAAAACTTTAGAATTTCACCCTTCTTCATACTGCTGTCAGATGTAAAACATTCTTAGTATAATCTCCATCTGAGCAGAGAGCAAAGAAAAATTTCAGCAACCTAGAAAGAAAAGTTGTCCTTTCCTGCTTATCTGTTTATAAAAGTCAGTTTAGTATTTTTATTGGAAAAAGGAATATATGCATGTGGTAAGGCCGTTAAAGTAGTATAAAAGCGTGTAAAGTAAAAAGTAGCCCTTTCATCTCACACTTCAGTTTTCCCTGGGAGCTAGCACTGTTAACTAGCATGTATTTATCTTTCCAGAAACAGTCTATGCCTATACAAGTATCATCATATAGACAGAATCATATAATTGGTATTTTTTGGCAATTTCATGTGATTAAACCTAACATATAATTCACCTCCTTTAAAAAGGTGGAAGCTTATAGTAGAGCAAGAACTCAAAAAAAGGAAGCATACATAAACACTATTATATAATATTGCTTTGCCACTTAACAGTATGTAGGAGTTTATTCCAGATCACTGTAGAGCTTCACTTTTTTTCATGACTAGATAGTAGGAATGTAATTAGTTCTTGATGAGTATTTAGGTTTATAGTCTGTTTATTAGAAATGATGCTGAAATGATCAAATACTTGTATATGTTTGCAGAGAGGTGCCACTGTCTCTTGAGGACAAATTCCTGGAAGTGGAAGTGCATGTTTATTTTAAATTTGACTAGGTTTTTAAGTTGTCAAAGAGATTTCACAGTTTATGTGTACTGGAAAATATTTGAATGCCTATATGGTTATACAGCAAACACTGCTGTCAGGGTTTACTTTTTTCCTATTCCCCTAGGTGACAAATGTATTGTGATTGTTTTAGCATTCATTTCTTGAATGAGATTGTGGATTTGTCATATTTTCATAAGCCACTTTAAAAATGAACTTCCTATATTTGAATTTTGTCAATTTTTCATGGGATTGTTAGTCTTTTTAGTAATGATATGTAGGGCAGGATCTTTTAATAAAGAAGTCAACCTTTGTTCTATGCGGTGTATCTCCTTGCTCACCTTGATCATTTGCCTGTTGAATTTATGGTGATTTTTTTTCCTAACAACAAGTTTTAATTTTAATGCAGTTATATACATCATACTTTTCTTTTGTGACTCAGATTTTATAAAGATCTTACTTAGAAAGACTTTCCCTCTTTCAAGATGTAAAAAATACACATATTTTCTTATATTTAAAGCTTTTTAGAAATAAACTTTAGAGCAATTTTAGTTTTATAGTAAAATTGAATGAAAGGTGTGGAGATTTCTCATATACCTTCACACATGTATAGCTTCCTTCACTATCAACGTCTCCCACCAGAGTGGTAATTTATTATAATTGATGAACCTACAGTGACACATCATTACCACCCAAAAGTCTATGGTTTACATTAAGGTTTCCTCCTGTTGTTGTACATGTTATGGGTTTGGACAGATGTATACTGACATGTATCCACCATTGTATTATAATAGTATTTTCACTGCCCTAAAAATCCTCTGTGTCTCACATTTTCATCCTTCCCTACCCCCAGTTCATGGCAACCACTGATCTAATTATTATCTCCATAGTTTTGCCTTTTCTAGAATCTTGTATAGTTGGAATCATATAGTAGGTAGCCTTTTCACATTGCTTTTTTTCACTTAGTAATATACATTTTAAGTTTCCTCCATGTATATTGATGACCTGATAGCTCATTTCTTTTTAGTATGGAATAATATTCCATTATGTGGATGCACCATGATTTATTTATTCATTCATATACTGAAGCACATCTTGGTTACTTCCAAGTTTGGGCAGTATGAATAAGGCTACTATAAACATCTGTGTGTACATTTTTGTGTAGACATAAGTTTTTAATTCCTTTGGGTAAATGCCAGTTACTGAATAGTATGGTAAAAGTCTGTTTAATTTTATAGAAAACTACCAAACTGTCTTCCAAAGTGTCTGTATGATTTTGCATTCCCACCAGCAATGAATGAGAGTTCTATTGTTCTACATTTTCATCAATTGGTGATATTGTGGTATTTTATTATTTTTTAAATTTCAGTTTCCCTAATGACATATTATGTGAAGGATCTTTATATATATTTATTGTGTGTATGTCTTCTTTAGTGAGATGTCTATAAGGTCTTTGGCCTATTTTTTTTTTTTTACATTGGATTGTTACTTTTCTTATTGTTGAATATTAAGAGTTCTTTTGTAGTCCTTATCAGATGTTTCTTTTGCAAATATTGTCTCCCTGTCATTGGCTTCTTTTTCCCTTGACAGTGTCTTCTACTGAGCAAGATTTTTAATTTTAATAATGTTTAGCCTATCTTTATTGTTTCTTTCATGAAGGATGCCTTTGGTTCCTTTGTTTCTTCTTTCACCAATACCACGTCTTGATGACTGTAGCTTTATAGTATGTCTGAGAGTTGACTAGTTTCAGCTTCCAACTTTGACCTTCTTTTTCAATATTGTGTTGCTTTTATCTGGATCCTTTGCACTTCCATATAAACTTTAGAGTCAACTGAATGATATCCACAAAATAGTTTACTGGGATTATGATTGGGATTGTATTCAATCTGTAGATCAAGTTGGGAAGAACTGACATCTGATGAACATTGAGTATTTCAATCGACGGACATGGAATATCTCTACAATTTAGTTCTGTGATTTCTTTCATTAGAGCTTTGTCATTTTCTGCATGTAAATATTGAACATATTTTGTTAGATTTATATGAAAGGATTTCATTTTTGGGGTGCTGTTGTAAATGGTATTGTGATTTTAATTTCCAAACTCCACTAGTTCATTTCTGGCATACAGGAAATTGATGGAATTTTGTATATTAACCTTGCATC